TAAGTTTCGGATATTTGATTCTATAACACAAAAGCAGCACGATGACCTGAAAGAGAAGATTCAATAGATCTATTGATGAATCAAAAAAGATTTGATAATTCGAAGTACCTCAAACGATTTCTTACATCTATCAACATAATCACCCAGAAATAACATTTGATTTTGCGGTGGAGGGCCAACAATAGTGAAGAATCTGAAACATACAAATCTTACAGCGCTTTTTTCAGAACAGTATTGTTAATTATTTTGAACCGTACATGTGATCTGTCATGGACGCTTATACGTGCGTAGACGTGTTTCGGCCTTGCAGTCCCGTCAGTTGCACAGGTGCCTTTCTTCTGAGCCGATCCCATTCGCGAAAAAAATCTCTTAGATAAAGGAATTGTCGACTTGTATAAGTGCCCATAGCAAACCACATGCATGACCGAAAAAAACTATCAGGCATATTGGAGTTTAAGTCTTGAGAAACACCCCTTTTTGGAATACAAACGTTCTTCATGTTATCATGAGTGACATTTAACCTTTCTTTCTTTTAGGTACTAGCGGTTGAAATTTCTATCGAAATTCTTCTTTCCTGTTCGAATAGTTTTGAATAATCAAGAGAGACAACTTCACTGATGTACTTGTGGATTATGAGGGTGTTGAAAGTACAGATCTGAACACTCGAGAACACCTAGTGAGAAAGATGTCTGATCTACATAACTCTGAATGCGTGTTATGAAGACCAATGGTCCGGCGCAGCCGACTTATAAGACACTTATAGCGTCCCGGCGCAGAGGAGAAATGAGCACCATCATGCCCTATTTTTGATTCAGCAAGCTTCAGAAAGCTTCTAAATGTGTCTGCATCTATAAATAAAATTACACGCATCTATGAAATTTTTAAGAAGTATGTGCAAAGTTGAAGAACGGAGGAAAGAGAAAACGCGCAGCATTGAACAGATTCTTAGGGACTCGCATAACATCAAAATACAATTAGACATTGTAGAAGTGTTTGAATTTATATATTGCTAGTTTCAGGCCTCGGGAGTTTACCGATATGATAGATATATGCTTCTATCCTTCTTTGCCAGTCTGGTAATAATTTGCCGACCCATGATGGATACGGCTCTTGACTTATTTACGGTGTGGAAGCTAACCATTGAAGTTTGATCAAATTATTGGAATAGCAAGAACTTTCCCGGTCTTTTTCATTAATCTAAAAGTTTATCTTTTCCTTTCAGTAAATAAAAACAACCTTCAACTTTACTCACTTCCTCCCACTTTTTAAAATGATTATACTCAATCAGAGTATGACTACACCAAAATCGTCGGCCAGCATGCGATCGTCAGCGACATCTCGATTGCACAGCTTGCCGGTCAATTTTTTGTGGGCAGTCGGCTCCTTGCTTGTGCGTCAAACCCCCACTTCCACTCTTGAGTTCATTGAAACGATTAAAAACTAAATTTCTCCCAGCTGCTCCGTCACCCCAAACGCCGTTAATCTCGCGGAAATTCTCGGCAGCCTTGGACACACACTACTCGTGTAGCATCAACAGTCGTTTTTGCTCAAATACTAATTTAGAGCCATGCTGTGGTCCCTTACGGGCACTTACACAGTGCAGTGCATGTGTTTCGGCCTTGCAGTCTCGCCAACTGTACAGTGCCTTCCCTCTTAGCCAATGCTTCTTGGGAGAATCTAACTCTCTTACAGGGAGGAGACTCAGACGTACTATTTACAGTGCCAACAAGTGTATGGAATCACTAATTGGTCAATATTGTACACTCGACTGCTCTTAGCCAAGGGGCTGGGTTTCCCCGAAAAGGAACTGGCTAAGACGAAAGGCACTGTGCAACTGGCGAGGCTGCAAGGGCGAAACACGTGTATTGCATTGTAAAGTGCCCCTAACAGACCACATGCATGCTTCTAAAATAATTAACAGGCATATTGAAATTTGAATGTGGTCTTGAGAAAACATCGGAATGAATGGTATGAACCGTCTCTGCTCTTGAGACAAGTCCATCTAAAACAAATGTATAAGTGTTTTATATCAGAATAGCCGCAAGAAGCTGCTCCAAACAAAATCAGAATTAATGGCCTAATTGCTTGAAAAATTTCTGAAAAAATGAGAGAGTTCGGAAAATTTTTTGCCAGCATAATAAATTATCATTATTCAGCAATTAGTGCGGCCTCCAGTTTATTGGTGTTAACCGCCATTTGTCTGTTAGCAATAAAAGAAGTATACTTTTACCGAAGTAGATCACGAAGCTGTCCATGAATATCGCCGAAAATAAGGATAGGTGCGTCGAGTTGCAACAATGCCGGTTGTGGTTCCAACGATTGTTTTGCCTACGAAATTAATTCTTAACAAGAGCACATTCACTTATTTTTTTCTATGACGTACAAGTTGAGTCTGTGCCGTTAAAAGTAGTAACGTGTTCTAGATGAGCTATCAAGTGTATGTGATAAGTATAGTGAAAAAACGGGAAAGAATAGGTGGCCGAAAGCAACGAGTTATATATAACTCATGTCGTCGCAAATGAGTCGAAGTCAGTGGATGTGAACAGCTACTGAATATCTTGATATTGTCTTTTATGTTAACGTAACACTATTAGAAGACAGAATTTTGTGACACATCCCAATACTTGGTAAATGCTGAGTTACTGCTTACATCTCTAAGTACAGACAAAACTTCCCCATCGGTAAACCCAGAGAGGTGGCCTTCGCGAGTAATCCGTCGAATCATTCTGTCGATGAGGGTGGGCATAGATTCTGCCTGAAACAAAGCAAATATGGAATGAGGCATATTTTAGATGGGTGTTTTTTATTTCAATGACATGTGAAAGCAGGTTTTGAGCTTGAGAGGTCGTCAAGACACGATTTAGCTGTTTTGAAAATCTCCAGCAGCGCGATCGTTGTAGTTGATAATTAGCATTCGATGTCGTTGGTAATGAAAGAATTAAGAATAAAGGCGTTTTGTCACTTTCTGAGGTATGCGTCGTGCATTCAACAACTTCCTCATGCATCGCTTGAGGTGACTGGATGCATATGTGACCTTTACAATGACTCGCGATAGCCAACGGATGTATCACAATCAGTGATGCTCTCCTGTCACGCATATATGCTGTCAAACTGCCAGCCTCTAAGAGCGGGAGATTTTGTGAGCTTTGAGTACAGGGTCGAACCACCGACTTAGTATAAGTCACAGAACACTTCTAATCACTGCACCACAAATGCTCTCGACTGAAGTTATCTCAAGAAATAATAGCATTTTACATAATTGCACTGGATGGTTTCCTATTCTTAGGAAATAAAATACTATAAAAGCTATCGTTGATCGTATTACATCATGTGGGGCCCAATCGCTGACGACTCTCGACCAACGTTTGTCGTCAAGAGACATTGAGAAGGCGTTGTGTTTGCCTGATTACTCTGATGTACTCTCTCGGCATTCTAGCATATACATGTTGGCAGTTTATAATTCGTCTCGACAGTATTTTTTTTCACTATGCAGATCCCAGTACTTTTAGCATTCAATCGCTTTTCCGTCTTCTTTATATCGATTTGGCTGCTTCTCGCTTTTCACTATATCTTGAATGCTCTCGCAAGCCTCCTCAAGCTTCTCGCTTCCCTTTGCTCAATTTCGGATGCAGTTTGTCACACATATAAACGCCAAGGACCAAGTATACATAACTGGAACATCCACAAGCATTCGTTTCGTTGAGTTAGGCACTAGGAACGAGTACGCTTCTCAACGATCAACTGAGAATCACTTTTACACGAGTACTGTCAAAATCAGCAAGTCTTCGTTACAAGCAGCTAATTCATGGCGTTGTAGGGTCAACATCAGAAACAAGATGGTGACAACTGACTTTCAGTCCAATATGATCTTACTTCAGTTTTTCCAAGACTCATTGAAAAGTGACTGTGTATAGTTCTGGTAGAATGGTATCGGTTCATCAAACATTCTCTTCACCGATAACGTCAGTCGTACAATGACAAAATCTGATTGATTGTATGACTGTACGGTGAGTAGTGGCGGACTGATTGCGAAATGTTTGCGAAAGATAACACTTTACATTATGGCGAAGGTTCTCTATTGCTTTCAACACTTGTTTGGTTAGTCATTATTGCTTAATCATCTTCTAAGGGCAAAGTTCTCTGTGAAAGATCCCTATACCGATCTGATAAACCGTCCATAAACAAGGCTTTGTTGGTATGCCGTTCATCCAATGTTTAGCGGTCTCGACCACCGCATTACGCTTTACTCCTGACGCCTCTTTTTCAAGCGGTCGCTCTTATTACGAACTACACAATCGAGACCTTTGTTTCTCCTTTCTCTCAGCCATGCTTTTACCTTTTCGACTTGAGACCCTGCTTGCTTCTACGGCTACCCTTTGTCTGATGCTCTACAACTATAATCCTGGAGAATGTTTCTAGTCGTTTTTTCGAGGTTTGGTTGCATTCATCCGAGGCAACACTTTGGCAGATATGCGTGTTTCAGCAGTGGTTTCGCCATCATCAAAGCTATTTTCTCGCCCACTCGCCCTCTATTTTAGGGAATGAGCGCCGAAGATTGATAAACCGTAGTTAAGTGAAATAATCACTGGCTAGTTTTTCTGTAGTCCATGCTTTGCAGCTGATATAAGCAATAAAATACATTCTTTGTCAACATTTATCAGAAACCTCGTTAACACATTCGTATATAGTTTTTGAGATAGTTTTTTAGCTGTCTTTTCGAGATTTAGTTACATGGCGCTGATGATGACAGCAACGCCGAAACACGCGAGTCTGCCGAACTGTTGCTTCGGATGAATGTAATCAGACCTCGAAAAGACGGTTAAAAATTTCTCAGAGACTGTATATGAATGTGCCCAGTGATGTAGAGTGATCCGCAAATTTTTGCGGCAGCTGGAACTCGAACCAATATTTCACCTTGTCCGGGGTCGCGTGCTCGAACCGCTGTTTTACCAACACTTGTTTCGACACCACACTTTTTACGCTACAACGCGTCCAAACAGGCGTCGGTAGTGCAACGGTTCGAGCACGCTACCCCGTACGAGGTGAAATGTGGGTTCGAGTCCCAACTGACGCAAAGACTTGCACACCACTCCACATCACTGATTATATTGCAACTCCATGCCACCGCTATAAGCGGTCAAATAAAAATAATTCTACTTATATACAAAAGTTTTAAACGAATTTTGTAATAAACAGTCGATCAAAGAACGTATTACACTGCTCTACAAATATTTTCGAGAAGACTTCCTTATTTGTAAAAAATGGTAAACATTTGATAGCAAGCGCAGATTGGGCGATGATAGTCAATGATAGCATGTGGAGGGGCCCAGTTTACCGTCTAGCATTACTGACTTTTCCGCTGTTTCTCTCCCATTAGCCGGCAAAAACATTCTATTCTAACGGCAAGTGATTAGCCATTTAAAATACTGTGTAAGCAGGCTCGAGCTCTGTTAGCCTTAATGAGTTAAACTGCTGTTCGAACTTCATGTCCTACAGAATTGCGCGTTCAGTGCAGGTCACGGGCTGACGTATTATATGAGCTACTGAGAATTAAAGATATCGCACTTCAAAAACTGCACGATTATTTTATGACCACTGTACATTGTATACACTAGCATACCGATAAGGCGATGCTGTGAAGTCTTAGGAAGATCGACTATCTGTCAGCCTCAACAATTTCCAATAATTTATGAATTCTTCTCATTAACGCAAGTTGTTATCTCGCGCTCATGGCTCACCAAGCCATCCATCCCCCTAAGGTCGGTAATCGCAGAATTGTCTGGAAGGATAAGCAGCATTGACTCGGTTTAGTGGGAGGCCACCGCGAGTCATTGTAACGGCCAGATATGCATTCAATCACCTCAAACGAAGTTCAAAATTGAAGACGAATGCATGGCGCATCCCTCAGGGATTGACCTAGGCCGAGAGCTTTATTTTTATCCTTTTAACGCAGGTAACGTATGTTATTTATCTATTTCGAGAGGTCGCAATGGTTAGAGGTGCCGTGCCACACTCATGCTGTAGATGGTTCAGTCATCCAGCGCCTTGCGCACAAGGGGCACCATGCCTTCCATCCCCCGGGGTCTGCAAGTTGGTACCAGACTTGTCTGGGAGTGTAGCAGCACTGACTTGATACATCGGTAGGCGACCGATAGTCATTGTAAAGGTTAGATATGTATCGAGTTAACTCAGACGATGATTGATCGAATGCATGACACATTCCCCGAGGATTGATCAACGCTAGGAGATTCATCATTTCTCAACCCTTATTTACGTGAACATCTTAAGTCCTCGGTGAAATTCTCCCTCTTCAAAGCCTGGAAAAATCAGATTATCCAAAACTCGGTCAGCCAAACGCCTTCATAATGCAATAGAAAAGCTTTCGTCCTGAATTTAAATGAAACGTGATATGTTCTTCAGTAGAAGTAATGGAGATTTTTGGGTGACAAGGTTGTCGACAACCTCTGATCTTCCCAGGCTCTAAAGAAGTCACATTCCACCGAAATGCTAGAAGTGCAAATAATTCTCCTGTATCACCTCCCGTCCCGTTCATCGTTGAGTAGCTCGAGCGGGTACCAGCAACACTTCCACATTTCCCTATCGCGTGCAACAGTAGCCCAGTGGGTCCTCCTCGCTCTAGAAAATCGCTGAGCGACATATCTTCTTCTATGCCTTTCGTGAAGAAATCGAACCATAGATCGGTGGTTTTTCTGCAGAGCGCCTGATGTCCCGAGGAATCCAGGAAACCAGAAGAGAAAAAGCAAGTAAATAGACGATAAAAAAGGACAAAGTTCTTGGCATTGATCTATATCTGAGGGATGCTCCATGTATTCGCTTTCCTAGCATAGTTTGGGGTGACTAAATGCGTATGCGGTCTTCTTAACACTTTCGGGAACGCCTCTTCTTGCATCTCCAACTCCCCAGCGTGAGAAAAAAATTGACAATATTATTGTATCATTTCAATTGTTTTATGCTATACATATAGACCCTGTGTTACAGAGTGATGTGCAAAACTTTAGCGCCAAGCGGCACTAGAACCCCCACCTCACTCTTTCCGGGAATGCGTGCTCTTTGAATTAGTACAATAATACGTTCAATGCTCTATCACGCTAGAGGATGGAGATGCAGAGGTTGGTCCACGGTCCCGAAGCGGTTAATAACTCGCCGTGGTCCACCGATGTAGGAAGTCAGTGATGCTATCCCCTCAGGCAAGTCTACTTGCAACTCACCGGACCCGAAGGGATAGAAAGCTCAGTGAGCCTTAAGCGCGGGATAGACCCATGAACCGCGTGCGCGTCCCAAACACCTCTAACCACTGCGCTATACGCGCCATTTGATAGTTACATAAGTAGAGAAAAAATCAGATTGTGACCTTATCGTCACGAAAGGAGGACCATTACTGAAAGGAGCTTGTCGATCTCAACTGGTGCATCAGATTTCATGATATACAGGATATATCACGCTCCAACAGTCTAGAACTCAGGTCTCACCTTTTCGGGGATTGCCAGCTAACCACTGCACTACCGACAGGCCTGTTCCCTACCACTCTTTTTGCGATACCCCCATACCGTCTGAGACCGCAATTCTACTATGCTCGATGGACTTTGTACTCGGGCGCGGTGCCATACTGATAAGGTGATAAACACTGACCAGGCTCACCAGTAATCGCGTCGACGTTACGTCTGCCTGTTTGTATTGTACGTGATTGCGTCCAGATATGTCTATATCACGTCTCATCCACATAAATCTTGTACTTTTACCTATTTACTTGCTATTTTTGTTGCCGTCATTTACTGTGCTGATCTCGCTTCCGGTTAATTTTCTCTCATTCATCACCGACAGTGGTTTTTTGAGGTTTGGGGAAGGTGTAGAACCAGCGCGCCGCTCATCACCTCGCTTCCTGGGACACCGCATCACTAACCACTGCGCTATCCGGTCTTCGTACTGTCTCTGTGTTCTACTAGATAGGAGATTTGGTTCTTCTCAGTCGTGAGGGGACAAATGAAGAGGCGATCGCATTCGCTGGAGAGGAACTTTGCATAGCAGTGTTCGAAAGCCTAAGCCTGGATTTTTGGCTGGAGCCCCCGCGTGGTCGGTTTTTTCGAAACACCCTTTTATATCCGTAAAAAATCGGAAAAAATCGTGTTTCCCTCGATCGCCTAATTTTTTATCTCTCTTATATTTTGCCGGATAAAACTCCTTCCTTGGTGTGACAGTGCTCATTCGATAGCACAAGTTTCCAAGAACTCAAAAATGTGTTTGCTTTTTGGAAAAGCTCTTTAATAGCTCTGTAGGAGATGGAGAAGATTTTTGCTTTGCACCTCACCTTAGAGAGCTCCTTCTTCAGACTATTGGTAATCATTCGATACCATAAGTCTCACTGATTCGAATGTGCTTATTTTCTGGAAATACCGTCTAGCAGGGAAAATCGATCGAATTTTTTCATATTTTTGACGACCTCGTTTACCGGCCAACTCACGGAGCGAAGGCTGGGCGATTGATAGCGTTTGAAATATTGTTATTCATATCTTTCGTTCCGAGTGTTTTCTTAAGACCACTCGTCAAATTTAAATATGCCTGACAATTATTTTTTGAGCCACGCATGTCAGTGGTCTATCAAAGAGGTCTGACTTATAAATAAGAAAGGATAACTGCCCGACTGACGAGATCGCAAGATCGAAACACGTGTATCGGGCTCTATAAGTCAGCCCTCTTTTATAGACCACTGACATGCGTGGCTCAAAATAATGATATCAGGCATAATGTTAATCATTTGGGAATTTTTTCGCCGCATGAGAGGAATTGCAGATAAGAACGTATGAATCTGACACTACGGAAAATTCCTTACACGCTGATACACTTTTCTGATTCCAGCGATATATACGCGAATAAAAATGAAGGCGTACGGCAGTATGAAACAAGATTTTTTCTCTGGATACTGCATCGTTATAAAAGAGTGTTTTGAAGAACCGGTGGCGTGGGGCTGTAGCCTGGAATCTCAGCTTTCGAATGGTTACTAACACGCCTATGGAAGTTTTCCTCTTCGGCGGATCAGCTCAGTTCCTCATCTGACGCCTTGTGACCAAAAGAAGCGAGATTTTCTGTGGAAAAAATCAGAACTCACTGGAACGAGCATCGATTTCTTCTTGTTGATGTCGTTTGTGTTTTGCTTTATCGATTGCATTTTTCTTGGATGGACCGATCGATGGTTAGTTTGTAGTAGCGAAACGTGGCCTAACAATGCTCATTCAGCCGAGCCAGCTTTAGTATGACGATTGAATTGACAGCGGATGGTCGCATTATCCCCTTAAATTGAATGCCTTCTAATCTACCTATCAATTGGGTAAATCACTGATAAACTGGCAAAATTCCAGCCCTGTCGGTCATGAGGCTCTTCATTTTGATGGGCCAAATGTATGGTAGCGGTCTATGAGGTCTGTACCTTCGAACGTTGGTGTTCCGTCTGCGGAACCGATTTTTTGATCCTTTGTGGACAAGACCTTTTTCGTGGTTTGACAGCTTAAATCTCGACGATTTCAACACTCTTTCTGTTTCCTAAAGGAAGCTTCAGATTGCGCTGCAACACCGAAAATAAGACCAAGTTTCACACTTCACCCTTTTTCTCCCCTTTTCTGGCGAAGCAGAACTTTTCCTCTAGAGTTTTGGTAACCATTCGATTGCTTAAATCTCGGCGATTCAAACAACATTTGTTGTTCAAAAAGGTCATCTCGTTTCGTTACAGCAGCAGAAATAAAGTTAAGTTTCACATCAGTAGGTTTTGGCTCTTTTTCCGCTAAATAGAACTTTTCTCTTGAATTTTCGGTAGCCATTCGATCGCGTTAAACTCGAGGATTTTCATACTCTTTTTTTTTGAAAAGACCTTTTTATTCCGTTGCAGCAATGAAAATTAAATTGGGTTTCACACGCGGCGCGCATTTTGTGATCTCTCGTAGAGTTGTGTGAGTGGCTGTGTGGGTGGACATTTTGTAACACTCGCGACAAACGGCACTAACCCTCGCGCTTGATTTTTTCCATAAAATTCTTGCTATCGTTTTATGAGCTTAGGTTTGTAATTCCGTTTCACATTGTTAAAACCAGACAGGTCTCAGACTTGTTTGAGATGATAAACAGCACTGACTCGGTTCAGCGGAGGCCACCGCGAGTCATTGTAAAGGCCAGATATTCATTCAGTCACTTCAAACGAAGTTAAAATTTGAAGTCGAATGCATGGCGCATCCCTCAGGGATTTATCAACGCCGAGAGCTTTATCCTTTATCCTTTTTTGTTAAAATAACCCACTACTAAGCCTAAGCCCAAGCCTGAGCAGCTTGAGCCTAGGAGTGCGAGACGTAATCGCTTTCCGCTCCTCTAGTTCTCCATGAAGACTTTTCCGAAAACCAAGCCTTATTTTGGAATCACCCAGCTTTATACTATTGAAAAACCACTAAAAACCTCATGAAAACCCAATCGCAAACCCTAGCGGAGCAAAAAACTGCGCGTCAAGTGAGAGATGTTATGTTATTTTTGAAGGTACAACACCCTAAGAAGACCTTCTCAACAAAAAGCTGTAGCATAGGAATTGCTCGTATTTGAGCTAATAAAGTTACAACTGAAAGGCTGAGGACAACACAAAAAAGTTCTTGTTCGCAAAGGACTGAAGAATGGGTTGCGATAGCGGAATTGTATCAAGAAATCTAAGTAAAAAAATGTCGTAAAGTACCAGCCAAAGAGCATTCGATGTGCGCAAGACTCTGTGTTAGGTGAAAATTTCACTTGACATAAAGTGTAAAACGTTCGTCTTCGATAACTCTCTGTAGGGAGAGTAGGGCTTCTAAGAGAATTGACTATAGAAATATCGAAAGACGACGGGTTTCTGCCCGGCTGACGAGTCTGTAAGGACGAAACACGTGTATCGGGCTGTACAAGAGCCTTACCAAACCACATGACAAGTTGTCCTCAAGTAATAATAAAAGGAACTATCAAAAAATCATTAGCAATAAAGACGGCCCTCGGAGTGAGTATCTGGTAAGTTTGCTGAATGAATGTTATGAGCTAAAAGGCCATAAGAAGCAGAACGATTCACCGTATGAATGATGAGAAGAGCAAAATACCTTACTGAATTTGACTACACTTTATTATTTCCTACTCCTCGGATTGTTAAGAGGACCACAGGAAGACCACCGACCCGATGCTCCGATTTCTTCTCGAGGAAGCCTAGAAGAAGATAGGATGCTCAACGGGTTACTAGAGCGAGGAGGATCCACTGGGCTACTGTTGCGAGCGATAGGGCAAATGGAAGTCATAGTGGTTCCCGCGCTCGAGTCACTCGGCGATCACCAGGACGACAGGTGATAGAATCTCGAGACCATACAGATAAAGATGGTCCCCGAACACGAGGTGTCTGGTTAGTTTGTTGAATGAAGAATATCAATAAGATGGCCTTGAAGAGCAGAACGATTCACGAGTTTGAATGACTCAAAAGAGCAAAACAACCTTGCCGAATTTACACTACAGGTTCATTGCATGTTCAGTTCTATTCAGTCGTGATCTACTAAAGTACCATTTTTTCCGGACAATAGCATGACACCGCTAACAAACTGCACTTTTTCTTCTGTATAAAAGTTTTGTATGGTAGATAAGTAATGTTTACTTTTAGGTCGTTCCATAAGAATTGGCACTTGTGCAATAGACACCCAAATTTATTTACCAAAAGAAATTAAAACTGGATGATTTTGGTGTCGCTCGATTGCGCATTTTTTAAAGAACATCTTGATGTAGCACCTTGTTTATAATTGCTTTAAGATGGAGCTGTCTTTGGAACAAATTCGCTTGCTACTCATGCACGAATGGCTTGTAGGGAAAAATGCTAATGAGGCGGTGAGCAGGATTAACGGAGCTTGGGGCGATGATACGGTTAGAGATAGGATGACTAGGAAGTGCTCTGGGAAGATCAAAGCTGGAAGGAACAGTTTGGAGGATCAGTCGCGCTCGGACCGTTCATGGAAGCTCCATTAGTGTTGCGCGTCACTTCAGGAAGATATTCCCAAAGGCCATTCGTGCATGAGGAGCAGCCGAATTTGTTCCCGCCATAGCCACATCTTGAAGCATGTATAGGTAAGTTTGTTACCAGAATGTTCGCAACAAAGTGCGCAACTGAACGACACGAAATTTATGCAGTACTAATTATTTCTAATCAAAAAATTTGGAGAATTGAGTGGTGAGCAAAAACGCGGCCTCAGGCGAGAATCGAATCCACGTTGCATCCTATCCAAGGACGCGTGCTCTACCACTACACCACCGAGGTACATTTGCCCCACCACTCATTCTTCAACATCTCAATGTTAGCTATCAGCCACCAACCTTTTACAGTAATTAGAATAGGTGTCAGCTCAACTGGGTTTATAAAGCGAAATCGCATACCCGAGCAAACCTGTCATAGGTTGGTGGCTGATAGCTAACATTGAGATGTAGAAGAATGAGTGGTCGGGCAAATGTGCCTCAGTGGTGTAGTGGTAGAACACGCGTCCCCGGATAGGATGAAACGTGGGTTCGATTCCCGCCTGAGACCCGCGTTTTTGCTCACCACTCAATTCTCTTAGGTATATTGAAAAACGTCATAACAATGCGAAATGCATTAAAATACTAATTCCGAGTATTAGTAATTAAAAAATTTTGGTGTTTATCGCTGTAGTGCTAGAACTTATGGAACGACTGGGGAAATATTGAAGATATTGAAAAGGTGGTAGGGTTCCTGTCAACGCTAAGAAATGGCAGTTCACTTTACCATCAGGAAAACTGAAGGCAACGCGGCCTGCAGTGGGATTCGGCCAAATATTTTGCTCTTTTAAGTCATTGAGGGTGGCAAATCGTTCTGCTTGTCTAGGGCTTTTTTGGTTCTATTCTTCAGCTAGCAGACTTACTTGGTTGTCTATCTTCGGAGATCAAATTTATCTAAATGGTCCCGAGATTCCACCACCTATCGTTCCCTTGATTGTCGAGTGGTTCGAGCGCGGGAACCAGTGGACACTTATTTTTCCCTTGTCGCTTCAAACAGTAACATAATGGGTCCTTGTTGCTAGAAGGATTTGTTGACCATTATATTTTCTTTTCCTGTAGAAATCGGGCAATCGAAATGGTCGAGTCGTTGGTCTTCTTCTTGACCGATTTCTATACAATCATCCTGTATGTTTGCTTCTCTTTATCTATCTTTTTCAAGCGTTTCCTCGTTCGTGAATTACTTCAGTGAAGTCGTTCGTTATCTGAGTTTCTTTTTTCTCACATGATTTCATAGTATATTGTAACATTTCCTACCAGGACTGTACCATGTCTTCAACAGAAATTCCCATAAAGGATGTTGGAATCAGTGCCATTGAAGTGTATTTCCCGAAAAATTTCGTCAACCAAGTGGATATGGAAAAGGTATATCATAGTTTCTTTTTTGTTGACTCTTTTAAATTTTGTGTACATTTCGAGAAGACAAAGCTACCGCGAGCCCTTTTTGGAAAGGAATACCTTCTTTGAGGAGGTCAGCTACGGCCAGCTCCTTTTAGAGAGGAGTTCCACCTCCGGGAAGATCAGTGGAGCTCATAACCAAGCCACACCATTGATGAGCTTCACGTATCTTTTCGGAGAGCAGCTCCTTCTTTGAAGAGGTCAGCTACGGCGAGTCCCTTTTGGAGAGGAGTTTCACTTCCGGGAAGATCAGTGGAGCTCATTACCAAGCCACACCATTGGTGAGCTTCACGGATCTTTCCCGAGATGAGCTATTTTTCAGAAGGGTAGTCGCTGTAGGTATGCCTTCTGAGCGAAGGATCTATTTCTCGAAAAGGACTTGCCATAGCTATTTTACACAAAGTTTGCCTTATTATTTCTAGAATCTTTGTAATTCTTCTACCCACCTGATCCAGCCTTTCCTTTTCAGTTTGATGGCTGTTCAGCTGGGAAGTATACGATTGGACTCGGTCAAGAGCAAATGGGTTTCTGTGCCGACAATGAGGACATCGTCTCCATCTCACTCACAGTCACTGAGGCGCTACTGCGGAGTTATAGTGTATGAAAGAGAACCTTTTTCGAAGCTATTTTGATCTATAGATCAAGTTTAACATCGTATCAGAGTGGTGATTAGTATGTGAAGCTTTGAACCTCGAGCGCGAGTTGAATCCGTGCGTCTCACCCTTTCCTGGGTGTTAGAACTTCAGTTTTTTTCGTTTGTGATGTTTATTCACTTCGTCCTTTCACGGGAAAGGTTCCTTTTTTTCTACTTCAAATCCAAAATTGACACTGAAGTGCGGATATAGAGCTAGTAGCATCAAGCTGTCGTCACGTTCTCCACTTCCAGAGAGAATACATTCATCTAATTTTTCTAAAAATTCTTTTCAGATCGATCCAAATTCTATCGGTTTTCTCGCTGTAGGCACTGAAACTCTGATTGACAAAAGCAAGAGCGTGAAGACCGAATTAATGCGATTATTCGGTACTAATAATGATATTGAGGTAATCATTTGAAAGAGTATTATCAATGTTTTCTCACATTTTTCACACGACGTCACCACATATCTCAGCTCAACACTTCTAGCAAGCAGTCGATTCATTCCTTTAGGTTCGTCCTCCACAAAGGTCTTGAACTTTTCGTGTGTGGATTGGGCCAATGAGTTAGGATCTTGGAGGCTTCGAGCTAAGGCGTCCCTGTGTCGACTTTCCAGATAGCATTGTGGAAAGGAGCCATGCGTGGCTTTCTGATACCCTGCATCATATCCATTGCGCTATCCCACCCCTATTGCTACTTCACTGATTGAATGATGACATAGTTAGTATCATTTTATTATGTATGTCTTGTTCTGTCTATGAAGTAAGTATGAATGTGCCCACTTCGATTTGGTGGGAAGAATCTGATAATTTACTCAATCACGTTTCTTGATAAGAATGTTGATTTGTTCAACGTAATTTCGAGATCGGGGGAGGAGGAGGAGGAGGAGGAGGAGGAGGAGGAGGAGGAGGAGGAGGTAGCGCAGTGGTTTGTGATGCAGTGTATTCGAAGACGAGATGATTAGTGATACACTGATTCGGTCCCTCTTCACTCTTTCGATCAGTCAACGAGCGCCTTAGAGAACTCCTTCGCTCGACCTTCTCCGAGAGCTCAAGGAGAACAGTCTCGACCGGCATTCTACGACACTCATAAAGAAGACGAAAATCTCAGATAGAAGCCGAAGCATTGCGTGAATGTTCGAAGACGTTTGTGGTGGATGAAATGGCGAGGAAACGGACCAGTTGCAAGGAATTGCTGTCCTATCCTTCCGTTTAGTAAGATGTGATAACGGATCATGCAAAATGAATTGAAGTGAATGACAATGCCTTCAATATCGGAGTTAGTTTCAACCCTTTCGGGACCGTGGACCCACGGCCTCTGCATCTTTAACTGGCAACTCTGGACGATCTGCTCCACCGCCCCTCCATCTCTAATCCCCAGCGAGTTATTGTTAAGCGCAGCATCGTGTCATCGTTTTACGCAGCACGCTGAAGTTAGTGATGCACAGGAGGTGGAGCATCCCTAACCGCCATCTTGCTGCATTTAACAGTGGCACACTAGGTGTTAGAGGTTTAGTGGTGGAGCTAGCCGACCAGAGTTGCCAGTTAGGAATGCAGAGGTCGTTGGTCCACGCTCCCGAAAGTATTAAAGCATGGGCCTCATCTCATCTTTTCTTAACGTTTTGTTTTATGAACCTGTTTTGAAAATCTCTTTGATGACATAACCAAAAATATGCCCTGCAATCATTTTTGAGCCGCGCATCTTAGTGGTCTGTCAAACAGGGCTGGCTTATAGAGCCCGATACATGTGTTTCGATCTTGCGGTCTCGTCAGTCCAGCAGTTACCCTTTCTCGTCTTTTGCTAATCTCTGTGGGAGCTCCAGTCTGCACACCGACGAAATCGCAAGATCGAAACACGTGTATCGGGCTCTATAAGTCAGCCCTGTTTGACAGACCGCTGACATGCGTGGCTCAAAAAATGATTGCAAGGCATGTTGAAATTTGAGCTGTGGTCTTAAAAAAAAACTCGAAACGAAGGTTATAACCAAGAATGTCGAGTGTTTGCTACACCTCGATCCTTAAGAATGAGTTGAACCTATTTTTCACCCATACCGGCGGTGCAAACTACCCTTACACCACCAAGCTCCTTCCTTCGGTATATATTTTTCTTTGGCATCAAGCTTTGCATATCACACGGCATCCTTGAATATATAATTACAAGGTCGTAACCCTTATATATAAGCGATAAAATCAGGGTTAATGTTTTAGGGTGTCGATGTGAAGAACGCTTGTTATGGTGGTACACAAGCAGTGTTCCATGCCATCGACTGGATATATGCGAACTACGCAACAGAAAAACGGAATGCAATTGTTGTCCTGGCTGACATAGCAGTTTACGAAGCTGGACCAGCGAGGTGTACTGGAGGTCACGCACATTCCTCATGTTCTTCCTGATCGCCTTTGTTGATTTGTTAAATCTCTGTCTTTCAGGAGCGGGAGCAATCGCAGTATTAATCACCCCGGACGCTCCTATAGCATTTGATCGTGGACTTCGGGCAACGTACATGACACCGACGTGGGATTTCTATAAGCCAATTGGTTAGAATTACTATGGGTTTTGAGTACTGCTCTCATATATCGACTCAGTTTTCAGCCCTTCAGAGGCAAGACCTTTTTCGTTTTCTCATCAGACTTTCAGTACTCATTCGATAGCTTGAATCTCGGCGATTTTGATACCATACTTGTTTCATGGAAAGACCCTGTTAGAGTGCGGTAGCAGCGAAAATAAGCTGTCGTTTTGACCGCAGCGCTCTTGCTCAGCTAGGGTTGGTGGATGGCTCTTTCTGCAACTTTCAGTAGCTATATGATCGCATAAATTTCGGTTTATTTAAAGACAATTTTGATTTTTTGAGAAGGTCTTCGAAGATCGCTGGAGGAGCGAAAGGTAGATTACGTTTCGCACTCCTAGGCTTAGGCTTAGGCTTTGGAGAGACGCGATAAACACGCCGAGTGTGAAAAATGAAAATATGTTTTAAGTCCATAAAACGATAGATCAATGTTTCTTCTGCAATTGATGCGGCAATCTAGGAATTTTCAGCGGAGATAAAATTCCAGATAAATCACGACAATCGCACTCTTTGCTCCGAGGCAGTTTTGGAGAGACGCGATAATACACGCCGAGTGTGAAACTTGATTTATGCTGCTGCAATGCACTAAGAAGCCTTTTCTAGATACCAAACTACAGTATTGAAATCACCAAGATTTGAGCTTTCGAAGGACTACTGGAAGTCTGAGAAAAAAAAGCGGAGAAACGCTCTGTACCCAAAGGGTTTGAAATTTATTTAGATAAAAGAATTGTATCGATTCGTTTCCGTGTGTGTTTTTGAGTGTTAGTTATAAAAATATTCACTTGCTTCGGATTCGAGGTAAATTTTCGACGGAATACCCAACTGTTGATGGTCCACTTAGCTTACAGTACTACATGAACTCGTTGGATGCTTGCTATAGGTCCTACAAGAAGAAAGCTGCCGAACTTTTTGGCGAAGGCGAGTCGATCTTCTGTTTAAACACTTTTATGTCTCAGTTACAGGCTTTCTTGTGGTGATTTATATCGATTGGAGTTGTCAAATTCGATTTCAGACATATCTTTGTCGTCTTTCTCAGCGGCAATGTTTCATTCGCCTTTTAGTCGCATGGTACAGAAAGCATTGGCTCGATTGGCGTACAGGTGCCTCTTAGTTTTCCGAGTACCGACGATGTTAGAAGAACAAACTATTTTCTGAAATCTCAAACTTTGGTGCCTAATCATTTCACTTTCAAATATAAACCCATTGATGTAGAGCGATGTGCAAAACTTCGGCGTCAGGCGGGACTAGAACCCGCGCCTCACTCTTTCTGGGAATGCGTGCTTTATCAGTTACACTACTGACGCCCATTTTGCACATCGCTCTTTCTACGCTACAGCGCATCTATATGTTAGCCGCCAGCCGTCAACGGCCTGGGTCGGGTAGTCGGTCTCGACATTAAACCCAGTCACGCTGGACAGATATTGGGTATTATAGATCAAAAGATATTCAAGGTCAGTAGATGCGGGTTCTAGTCCCGCCTGACGCGAAAGTTTTGCACATCTCTCTACATCAATGGGTATATATTTAGAACATCATACCACCGCTATAAGCGGTTAAATAAAAAGAATATCATTTGATCTATTTCACTTTTGTTTTCAGGGATTATGAGAGTGGTGGACTAGAAGGTGACAATCATTTCACGGGACTTGGGCAAGCTTTACTGATATAAAGACTCAAAGCGATGGAGGATGCTTGCTGTTTTTATTATTTTATAAATTTCTAGTGTGCTCTCTTCATCATCGTTCGACGATCGCGATGTAATGGGTTGCCTTTTACGAGGTTCAGAGGCATTATGGAAACAGAAAACATATCCATTTCTTGAACTGAATCGTCGTATTGGTAATATGTACACCTCGTCGCTCTTCGCTCAACTCGTAGCCTATTTGGCTTCCGGTATGTTCGTCTTAAACCTTCTCACTGGCATTCTTCAAATATTTGCTTCTCATTAGCTCAACCCGGATACTATTTTGAGCCTTCATAAGCGAGGATTAAACGCTGTGGCTTCGAAAGAAGTTCTATAGACTTCAGAAAATCAGAATGTCATTAAGATAGAAGAGGCAAATTCGTATTTGCAGACAAATCAAGGATGGTTCCAATGGTTTTTTTCAAAGCGATCACTAGAATAATTTTAAACATCTTAGTTCGAGTTTGAGAGAGGGCTATTACCTCCAAAATAAGTGGTTGAGGTCAGTGGCGAAGATCATCCTGTCCTCAGTACGCATTCAAATCAATGCACGTGGTCGCAGAATTGTCTTCATAGCTGTGAAGTTCTGGCTCGGTATCTTGTACTGTACTGAAATGTATTTTTGTACAACACACTATCTGTACGTTGAAGTAATTTAAGCTCCATGGTGCAGGCGCTTAATTATACCACTGTGCGAAGGTGTAGGATGTTGCGTTGTGCATTTGTTAGAAGTGCTTTGCAATACGCGCGTGGTCGCTGGTTCAATCTGCTACTCGGGCTCATCAAGCTCTCCATTTTTCCGTGATAGGCAGATCGCTACCACACTTCTTTGGGATTATAGAAGCGCTGACTTGATAGGTCAGTAATTAATCGCAGTTCATTGTAAAGATCAGATATGCATTCAGTCGCCTCTAGTGCTATCAGTGGAGTCAAACGCATAGCGCATTCCTCAGAGATCAGCGCTGAGGGCTTCTTCGTTTTATTATTTCATCTCCATCATGAACAGATCTTCTTTGATATTTCTATCAGTGAGGAAGTAGAAAGAAGCAAGTGACGAGAAAAGTGTTCGTTGCCCTCGCCCCTTTAGCCCTATGTGCCAGTTTTCAAAGAGCAGAGTTGTCTTATTTCTTGATTTTTCAGAAGAAAATGTCGCTCTTTGTTGCCTAAATAGTCAGTCAGACTGATTAGTCGACATCCATTTTGGAGTCACTGTTATATCGACGAATAAATAAGCAGTTAAAGTCTCTAGTAGCGCCTTTCTTAAGTTGTCTACCTGTTTAGTTACACCGATAATCTAAATCGAATATTGTTTTTCGCCTATGGTAGTGGCTCAGCGTCGGGCAATGTTTTCTGCTAGAATCAATAGATCGGAGGAGATTTTGCTAGCTCAAATGCAGGAAATAAGTCGTCGTGCAGTAAGTTTTTTTTTAAATAAATTTAGATTATTCAGAGTCTTAGAAATCGATCTTTAGTCGACCTTGACGTGAACATTCAATCAATTCATTAGGGATTTCTCCGCTTACATGGTTGGTAAGGACGATTTATTCGGTTTACGGCCCGTACGTTTTTGTATAGATCAGGCGGCGGTGGAACCATTAGCTCAGATCAATGGGCTTTGAAGAAGAGAGAAACGTCGAAACGTTAGCCGAACAGATTATGTTAATAATCTCGTAAGCGGGGAAATTTCTAAAGTGTACATTTTTAAAGTCTATCTGTCAACCTTTATAAATTGTCTGTTCTAGTCAGCGAGTTGTTTTTAGATTGCTCGATTGGAGAAAAGATCGCTGTGCACTCCTGAAGCGTTCACAGAAGCGCTGAAAATGCGCGAAAATCTTCTGTCGTCAGACGGTGCGTTGGCAATTGTCCATCTCTAGCAGTTTCGTGATCAAGAAAATATCCGATACATGTGTACAAACATGACGGCATTTCCAATTTGACTTAATTTTAGTGCCTGTGAAGCCAAACGCGAACTCTTCAGTCCCACCGACGCTGGCTCTGTTTCCAGGAACATATTTCCTAAGTCTTATAGACGAGAAAAACAGGCGATCTTATAGCAGAACTTCAGATCACCCTGGTTTACCGGAAAATCATGTGAACGGGTTTTTGAATGGGTTTTGTGAGGTGGAGAAGGTCAACGAGAAATGTGAACCAGGAATGTCCCCGTCATGAGGAGAACAGTTTTGTATTTATTGCTTCATATAACCCAGATTTGAAATGTTTTCCTACTTCCTCGCATCGTTTTCTTCATTAACATGGCAAGTTGAGCTCGAATATCGGTTCCAAATATGAGGATGTACACCATTAAATTGTATTCAAATTGACAAGAGCCTGAGAAGCTATGCTTTCAACTCTCCAGCTTAGTGGAGACACTGAAGTTTAACTATAGCCAGCAAGAAAGGAGAGTTGGAAATACGGGATTCTATTGGTTTTATAGATTGGACACCTTGTTGCTCATGTTGACCTTCTCCTGATTGTGGGAGATGTCGTTAAAGCCATTAGTTTCAAGTTTTTCACCAGGCAAAGGACTTGAAACCCTCCAATACCCGGGTTCTGATCCAGCCAGCCCGGAGATTTTGAGTGGTTTTTTGAAATTTTATCACCCGTTAGTCCAGTTGGAAGAGCAACCGGCTTCAAAGTAATTGATCAAAGTTCCAAATCCTTTACAGTTCACCATTTAGAGCCCACGTAATGTGATTTTTTTCTTCTTTTTTTTTTGGACTGATTTGCCTAGTCAAAGAGACGTATCCGTATGAGGGAGGGTAGATTTTACTAGTCATTGTTATGTAAAGGACCTCTTAACAGGGAGTTGGAAGGTGATGTCTCCAAGCGAATTCATGACTTGTTATCTTGTAGAGCAGGTGTAATGCCTTGAAGGTCTTCTACCATCTAAGAGACTCAGTTTCTCCTTCCTCCTCCTCCTCCTCCACCTCCCTTCCTCCCCTCCGCTTTCAGTCCTCCTCTTGCTCTTCCTCCTTTTCGTCTCCACCCTCCTCCGTCCTTCCCCCTCCATTTCCTTCCCTTGCCCCTCGAGATGTGAAGTAGATATTCACTTGTCACGAATAGTTGTTTCATCTCACGAATAGTTGTTCTATCTCAAGTTCTGTGATTTAAGTGATCTAGGGCAAGACATAGAAGAATATTCCAGTGCTGGTTTTATTGTTGGTTTTATAATTAGTAATGTTTTGTTCTGTGTTCCCGCCCGAATGATCTGTTCTCCATGGTCTTTGTTCTAATGAAATATACTCTGTTATTTGTTTTTTCCGAATCATTAGTCAGAGACTTGTAGATCAATTCCTGGATCCTTTTTTTCCTGAATTCTGGAGTCTTCTGACTTGACAGGTGGTTCTTGTTTTACGAGTTTGTTCGTCTCTTCTGCGTTGTTCCTGATGCTGTACAAGAACTTCATTGATGAAAAATGTAACATAATAAAGTCTTTAACAAAAAAGACCTACAGAAACATGAATGTGTATTGGTCTTGGTGGAAAATATCCATTCGTACTGATATCTGAAGACTTTGGAAGCTTTGTATGTGAAGGCAACTAAGAAGTGAGAGTCAAATCGTTGAGAATTTCTGTAGAGCTCCTTGGAACCTCGGCTGGGAGTTGAACTCAAGTCTCAGTCATTTTGTAGAGGCGCGCTAACCATTGCGCTACCGGTGCTCACCTTGTCTGCGATACGAAAGTTTGAGGTTGTGCCTATTACTTAACCTTCTTGGATAAGCCCACTTTGAGGATATTTTTCTAGATATTGAAATTTTTGAACTCATATTGTTTCCTAGATACTTTATCTGCAAATTTTACTAAACGTATGGGGCAGGCAGAGTTAGTTCTTAGGTTTAAGCTTAACCCTTTACGGACCACCGCTGAGGGGCAAACGGCGGCGCGCCGTCGCTTTCGTGGCAGTCGCAGGCAGCATCCGGACGTCTGTGCATGAATGGCTAGCTGTATGCGCCTGCTTTACCATGAGGCGCGATGCCGCCGTTACAGTAGCTGGACGAGATTTGACGTGAACGTACCATATGGCCCCGCAAAGGGTTAAGGGTATTAGGCGTACCCCAGGATTTATGAAATCTTTTGATCAGGAGGATATTCACCGACTTCATATAGAGCTAGACGTTCCTCTCCTTTTTTTCTTAAGAGAAGTGTGATCCCTTAACTATCTCAAACTCTAATAATGTGAAGTGCGATGCAAAAACATTTGCGTCAGCCGGTGGTGCAACGGTTAGCATACGCGCCTGGAAAGAGTGAGATCTGGGTTCGAATCCCGGCTGACGCAAATGTTTTTTTTGGGTATACTATGACATCATACCACCGCAAGTGGTGGTCAAATAAAAAGAATTCTGACCGATCTCTCTCGCTCTACGCTGAAATACGATGAGGTTTCTTTGATTCAATCTTTAGCAGTTATATGACGTCACAAAAAAAAAGGAATCGGAATCAATACATTAGTACAAATACATATCCGGTAATGTTGAGTGATTTGCAAGACCTCAAATCTCAGTCCGGAATCGAACCCGCATCTCACCCTTTTCGGGGCGCGTGCTAACCAACTGTACTACCGACGTACCTGCTCCGCTATTGTGACCATTATCGACTACTCGATATAGATCAGCTTCGCTTGTTTTTGCAGCGGTGTGTGCTTGCAGTCCAGTCTGAATCATTGACGATTGGTTGCTGACGGAATCGATACATTGTATCGCACAGAGTGATAGCAGCACGGAGCCCCGGTGCTGTAACTGGTTGAATTGCGCACCTGAAAGGTGTCTAAGTGGGTTCGATTCCCATCTGCTTGGTCTTGTTGTTTTGTTTTCTTATCTTTGATCAATTACAACTTGGTGGGGTGGGGAGGGGTATCGAACCAGGGTTTCGTTTGTCACCTCGCTTTCTGACACCTCGCATCACTAACCGCTGCGCTGCCCAGTGTTTTTAAGTAGGCTATAAAGAAATACATGATAGTATTAATAGAAAGCAGTGTGAGTGGTGGTTTGCACACTCATTCGGTGCGAAGATAGGTGTTTTCGTTACTTTTGTTTCGAGTGTCTTCTTAAGACCACGGCTCAAATTTCAATATGCCTGGTGATTATTTTTGAGCCACGCATGTCAGTTGTCTGTCAAGGAGAGCTGACCTATACAGCCCGATACACGTGTTTCGATCTTGCGATCTCGTCACTCGGGCATTTGCCCTTTCTCGTCTTTTGCCAATCCTGTGTGGGTGCACCAGATCCCCACACTACTGCGTGGGTGTTTTCGTTGTCCTAAAGGGCAAAAATGATGACGTCATCGGCGATAAGAGGATTAGACTGCTTATAGTCACAAATGAGATTGACTTTTTCTTCTTTTTCCTCTTCTTTTATCTTTCATCAGTTTTCGACTTAATAGAACAAGTCTGTGCCTCTAATTGTAGTCAAAAGTCCTATCCATAGTCTACCTTTAGATAAGTCTGAGGTTTAGAGATAAGGTTGACCGCCTGGTTCACACGACTGGAATTGTAATCAATGCATGCTGTTAGGATGCCTACAAAGGCCTTTTTCCTCGAGGAAAGACCAGTCAGTAATGAAGAGAGGTGGTTGATTTCCTCTTCCTCGATTTTGTCTTAATATCGTCCTCTTCCTCTATCAGCGCATCTCTCAGTTTGGTTCTTCTCCGAGCGTTTGCTGGAAAGGACTTGCCTTGAAACTGGAAGATTTCCTTGTTTGTTTTGTCCATTTGTTTGTTAGTTTGTTTTCCGACGTTTCTTCTTCTAGTAAAAAATCTCCCCGATTAACTTTTTCTCTATCGACTGAACTTGACATCGGCTTGATATCGCTGCAGATCACAAGCAGCGTAGCGTAATATATCCAAATCAGAGTTTTTTCAACAGAGTGTCTTTTAGTCACAATTCTTTCTATTTGACTGCCACTGCAGTGGTATGATGTTATGGTATACCCAATAATGTGGAGTGCTGTGAGCCGGGATTCTAGCCCAGATCTCACTCTTTCTGGGAGCGTATGCTAATAGCGTCGGTAGTGCAACGGTTGGCATACGCTCCCGGAAAGAGTGAGATCTGGGTTCGAATCCCGGCTGACGCAAATGTTTTTCCAAAGTGTCTTTTAATTTCTCTATTGTTCATTCAATTATGGAGTAATCTGTAATTCCAATGCATTATAATAATTGTATTAGGTTGGAAGGGAAGTTCGGGGGCAGTTGTAAGGATTTGAAAATCCATGCATATTCCAAACAAAAACAATAACCATTCTTCAAAATAAAGACCATCGTTTTCTACGACTTTCTGCCATCGGTCCGCCAAGTTTCGGATCTGGTTGAAATATCATTACTTTGACTCGAATCAAAAACTCCTGGCATGCTTCTTCAGCTTCATCAAGCGAATCAAATCGGCGATCATTCAAGCTTGACCTCCTGACCCAACCCACTGCTTGCCTCGATTGTGGCTGAACAGGTACATCCACTTCTCGTTCGAAGTCCCAATGCGTTTCCCAAATAAGTAGTCATTCAAGGGGCTGTTGAGCAGGTGGCGACAAATGTCGACTCTTTTGCCGGCTTGTGCTTCTTCAGTGAATTCGTGCGGATCTTGTCGTGACTTCTTGTGGACAAAGTTAAGCTGGTGGAGAGTGAGAAACATCGAATTCGGTTTGCGACGATTCATCTTCCAAAGCAACGATCAAATTTTCGCTGTTCAGCTTTGTTGGACTTCCTAAACGAAGCTTCTCTCTAAGGTCAAGATCTCCGGCATTGAGAAGCATTGAGACCAGCATCCAACAGCAGATTTGCTTGTTAGGCTTTCCCCCTTCAATTTTGATGATTTGATCGACTGCAGCTCGCTGTGAAAGTCCCTTTTGTCCAGTAATGCCGCAATAAAACACGAACTTCGATTGTATTGCTGGACATTTATCATACAAATAGGAATTATTTCATGCTTATTAAAGTGCCCCACAACTTTCTTTCTAACCGTAGTAATTTATATGACAGAAGTATACGTAAGAATGGCGCGTTAACACATAACTAACGCGGGGGATAAAGGTAGCCTTAGAACCAGGGCTTGCTGGTTTTATGTTAGAAAACTATAGTATTTCCTTGATAACCAAAGTACTTGAGGATTTCAGTAGTATTATTGTTATTCTCCTGCTTATTGTAAAGTGTTATATTTACATATGGCGTAACATAGGAAAATTACACCAATGATATAGTTTCAATATGCCTGGTAATCATTTTTGAGCCACGCATGTCAATGATCTCGAAACACTTGAAACGAAAAGTTATGATATGTTGAATTTACTAGCCACGAGCAATCGAGTGTACAACACTCTGTGTAGAAAGGCTAACTGCCTGGCTGACGAGATCGCAAGATTGAAACACGTGTATCGGGCTCTATAAGCCAGCCTTCATTGATAGACCACTGACATGCGTGGCTCAAATAATGATCATTAGGCATATTGAAATTTGAGCAGTGGTCTTGAGAAAACACTCGAAACGAAGGTAGTAATATAGTTCAAATAATAAAATAATACATTTGATGGATCCAATTTGGGGTTAGAGATGCGGAGGAGGTGAAGCAGACCGCCCAGCGCTGCCACGGTGAGAACGATTTATCGTGCATAGCTGTTGAGGAGTGGTTTTTCATACTTATCATCGCTAATCTTTACAGTTTTTTTTTTCAATTTTTTGAAGAACGATTCGCTTCATTTATCACCTCTCGTTAGCATGTATCGCTTGAAGTATCAAATACGATGATATGAAGAGTATTCTTTCTGATGTTCTCATTTTGAAGTCGCTAGAATCGAATGGAAGGTCGTGTTCGAAGTCGCAGTTCTTCACGATCGTCTCGGCATCGAAGTCGTCGAAGTGGTCGTCGTTCATCGGATAAATCACCACCATCTCACCAGGATCGGTCTCGGTCTCGGTCGCGAAGTCATACTCGAGCCCGATCGAACAGCAGTGATCGTCAGAATTCAAGATCTCGTCGTTCTGGGGCCGAAGAAAACAGGTGAGAGCTGAACAGCCTGCAGGGCAGAAATCTTTATTAGATCGCTTTTTTTAGCAGTGTCATGATGTTATATTAGTAATAGGTCATTCCATAAGTTTCAGCAGTAGAGCAATAAACGCCAAATTTATTAGCCAGATGTAATTAAGACTGAGTGCTTTTTGGTATCGTTCAATTGCCTATTTTCTTATGAACATTTTAGTATACAACTTGCCTATATTTGCTTCAAAATGGAGCTATCTAGGAGCAAATTCGCTTACTATTCATGCATGAATGGTATCCAGGAAAAATGTTGGTGGAGCGGCGGCCAGATTGATGGAGCTTGGGGCGATGATACGGTCACACAAAGGATGACTATGAAGTGATTCGCGAAGTTCGAACTCTGGAGAGAACAATCTGGAGGATCAGTCGCGTTCGGGCCGTCCTGCGGAAGTTCCATCAATATTGTACTCCGCTTCACAAGCATTTTCCCTTGCGCGCCATTCGTGCATGAGTAGCGAGCGAGTTTGTTCCTACCACAGCTCCATCTTGAAGCAACTATAGGCAACTTGTATACCAGAATTTTCGCAAGAAAATGCACAATTGAACGACACCGAAATCTTGCAGTCTTAATTATTTCTAGTTCATGAATTTGGTGTTTGTTGCTCTAGTGCCAAAACTTATAGAACGACCTACTATATCCTTAGATATAGATTCGATATCCAAAACTTTAGCACCAGATGCGGGAGATGCACTCGCTCTGTATGAGGAGCGCATGCTCCCACTACACCGCCGAGACCATTCTGTAGGTTATACATTCCTCAAATGAGTGCCAGCCTAGCGGAATTTGATACCGATCTTTACCTAGCGAGCAAACCCGTCAAAGGTTGGTTGCTGAAAGATACGACGATTTATCAATAGAAAGTTGTAGAACACATGTGGCGCAGTGGTTAAAGGTGCTTCTGTGTCTCACGCAAGATCAATGGTTTGATCTTGCGCTCATGGCTCACCAAGCCATCTATCCCCCGGGGTGGGTAAGTGGCGGACTGGTCCCAGACTTGTCGGTGGATATGCAGCACTGACTCGATACAGCGGTAGGTCACCGCGAGTCATTGTTAAGGCCATATAAATGCATTCAGTCACTCAAACGAAGTTGAAAAATCGCAGTCGAATGCATGGCGCATACTTCGAGGATTGATCAACGTCTAGAGCTTCATCCTTTTATCCTCAAAATAGTATCAAAATAGTAAAATAACGGTGACCTCGGTGGTGTAGTGGTACCTCGCGCTTCCGACATGGTTGAAGCGCGAGTTCAACTC